ATTGTATTATACCTCCACACCATGTCAGCAAAATAGTTATCTGTTAGTTGTAAACGTAAATAGCCAGGTATGAACTTGACATCTTGTCATAAAGAAATAAAAGGAACATATTGCAGTTATAGTGGCTTTTATTTTGGTCTCCAGCTGATTAAAACATGATTGTTTTCGGTCCTTTCCAAATGTGCAAACTATGTAAATACAGTCAAAATGTTTCTATGCTCACAAAATGTTCGAGTCTACTCTCTCCCACTTGTTGCTGTTTCCTGTTTTCAGTAAACCGCTGTTAAATGTGGGTTTGTTTGTTTTTTTTTTTTTTACTGTGCTAAGGGGAATAGATTATAATTTTCTCTCTTTTAAAAGATTTATTTATTTATTTTAGAAATATTGCACATGTGGGTTGGGGGAGGGGCAGAAGGCGAAGGGGACAGAGTCCCAAGCAGACTCCGCACTGAGCATGAAGCCCAACACAGGGCTGGATCTCATGAACCTGAGGTCATGACTTGAGCTGAAATCAGGAGTCAAATGCTCAACTGACTGCCCCACCCAGGCATCCCTAGATTAAAATTTTCTTTACCAGAAGTTTTAATATAACTGGCTGTGACTGGAGAAATGAAATGCAGAAGAGAAAGTGTCTTGATTTACAGCTAACAGTATGTGAGTTGGTGTAAGTTCCTCACAATCCCCCAACTTTCTTTTTTCTACATTTTTCACAGACATTTCTGGAACAACGAAACCCCTTGGCAAGTCACAGGTAGAACAATGAAACCCCTTGGCAGGTCACAAGAAGAACTACACTACTGAGTGTTCTCTTACTTCCACACTATTTGCTGCATGTGTGTTTATCGACTTTCTCTGTGTCCATTCACAGGCTGAGAGGCATCAAGGACAATGTGATTCTGAATTTGCAGGAGAGGATTTTTCAAAAGTGCTTTTCATTTGGGAATATTTTTTAAAATCTATTTTCTACTGATAAATGTAAAGGTTAAGTGCAGAACTAATTTTCTGAGAATTTTTTTTTTTACCTACAATTTGCTCTATTGTTAATTGCATATGTATAAGTTAAAACGAAATTTATAAACTAGGAGGTTCTGAGCATTCTAGTCTCATTAAACCAACTAGGCTGTGGTTTTAGAGCATGTAGTCAGTGGATGTTTCACAGATATACCAAACTTATTATACCTAAAACTTACAATTCTGGACCTCCAGAAACCCTTTCTCCTGCGTTCCCCACTGAGCGGAGCCATCAGCCAACTAGATGTCCTATGATATCACTGGACTTAATCCATGATCCTAAACAACTGATTCAAATGAATAAAGAAGAACCCCTCTTTATTTCATCTCCTTTCAGTCAGAAGTTGAGTGGTCACGAACTATACCTTTCTCTGTGACATTTTCTCTGTAGAAAAGGTCTTATGCTTAACATTGACCTCTGACCAATTCTCACTTTCTCCTTCAGGTTTAAGTTCTTTATTCCATCATTGCTACTGTGCTGTGCCCTGATTCCCCCTACAGGACTATAATACAAGTTCTCACAGATGCCAGGGATGTTGATGCATGACAGCTCGGAGATCTCAGCCCAGAGGCATTGCCCTCAGCTAAAGACATCTAATTCACTCAGGATCACTACCCATCCTACTGGACACCTACATCCCATGTATGGTTGAAACAAAAGAGATAAAGGCCTGGCCCTCACTTCAGTTTGGGATTATTCTGATGGACCTTTCCATTTTCAGGAATTCCCATGAAGTTGGCTGAAGTTCTAAGTTGGTTGTTAGTTCATTGCAGCTCGTTCTGTCCAATCCTGTCCTTCTTTCCTATAAAGTGCGGGTCACAAGAGCATTTTTTATTCAATAACCTCTGTCTCAGATGCTATTTCGCTTGGAAACTGACTCGCAATGTATTCGAAGAGCAATTTGAGGCTTCTGCTACATATCAAGATATAGTTCTAGAAATCCCGTAGGATTCCTCTCCCGGTTCACCCTTAAATCTGAGTTGTGTCCCTTACATGTACTCCCCAAAGAATATGCTCTTTAACTGTCACTGCAATTCTACTGCAAAACTATAAAAGCTTGTATAGTCTTCTGAATTCCCCATTATTTTGTATCAAATATGGAGTCTTTAAATTTTTTTATTCACTATTTTTTGTTTATGTTATATTCACTATTCATTATGTTTATGTTAGGTGCCTCTTTGAATAGGTATATGAGAAAATACATATGCTAGTGTGTTTCAGGGCCTGGATTTTTACATTAAGATATCAGAGTTTAGGGGCGCCTGGGTGGCTCAGTGGTTAAAGCCTCTGCTTTCGGCTCAGGTCATGATCTCAGGGTCCTGGGATCGAGTCCCGCATCGGGCTCTCTGCTCAGCTGGGAGCCTGCCTCCTCCTCCTGTCTCTCTCTGCCTGCCTCTCTGCCTACTTGTGATCTGTCTGTCAAATAAAAAAAAAAAAAAAATCTTTAAAAAGATATCAGAGTTTAAATTCCAGCTCTGCCACGAACAAGTTCTATAACCTTGGAAAGCTTCATGTAGTCACTTCTTTCTTCTATCAAATATTACAATCTATCTTATTTGTTTGAGAATAAATTTGATGAATATATATAAGTCACTTGTAATTGCACTTGACAGAGTAAATTCTAAATGTATGCTTGCTATTATTTTATTTTATTTTTCTTAAAATCTGGCTTTCTTGAGGAACATATTTGGTTTGTGGCACCTTTTATTTGCACAGGAAAAATCAGTGCATGTTTGTGGGAGCTTTCATGCTATTGTCAGTCAGACTATACCCATTCTTCTGAGAACTTCTTCCCCTTCCACACATAAGCCTATACCTAAGGTGCCCATATATTGATGGCTTAGCTCACCCTTACCATGACATTATTTTTTTCTAGTAAAATTAAATAGGAAACTTTCTCATCATAAAAGCTATAAGACAGATGCCTGAGAGTGGTTATTATCTATGTTTCCAGTTACATGGAAGAAATCTACCATCATTATGAAAAAAAGTAAATAAAACTGACATGGAAAGAGAAAGGCAGAGAAAAGCATCACAGGTGGGTGGTAGAATTGATGTTCCTGGCTTATTTTCCCTGTGGCTAAGCTCTATTGTTACCTTTCCTATGGTTTGTTCATTCAAACTTTTCTTCAATTAGACATAATAACCAAGTACATTTCCAAAGGTTTCCCATTTTGTTCAAGCTAGATTGAATCCTGTTTCTTTTTTTTTTTTAAGGTTTATTTATTTATTTATTTGACAGACAGAGGTCACAAGTAGGCAGAGAGGCAGACAGAGAAAGAGGAAGAAGGAGGCTCCCCGCTGAGCAGAGAGCCCGATGCCGGGCTCCATCACAGGACCCTGAGACCACGACCTGAGCTGAAGGCAGAGGCTTAACCCACTGAGCCACCCAGATGCCCCTGAATCCTGTTTCTGTTACTTGTAATTAATGAAGTCAACCTGACTTATAGAACAGGTAAAAGGACAGGAAAGTAGTAACGACAATTAATTTATCTGTGTCAATAAACTGAACATCATCCTAAATGAAATGACCCTAATGAAAACTTCAACTGCAAAACACTAGGGAGCAATTTTAAAAAGATCTGTAAAGGAGACTAAAACTATAGGAGCAGAGTGGAAGGAAGAAAACCAAGATGGAGCAGAATTGTTCAAAGTAAAATAATACTGTATCCAAAGACGATGATGATAATGACAAAGTACCAAGAAAAATGAAATAAGTAGTCCAGTAAAATTCTGTAGATAGAGCAAATAATACAAGTATTGAAATATATTGGATTTATGAGTTTAACATACTTCCTAAAACAGAAACAGACATATAAAAAAATTCAAAGCAAATGAACAAATTAATGACTACCAAACAGACCATTAGTATTTTAAACAAAAGCAGTCTCAATAAAGAAGAGAAGATACAAATAACAGTGTTCTGAGTAATTATTTGAAAGTGAGAAAATACATAATTTGTGTAGATTCTTCCCTCAAGTACATTTACTTTGAAAAGAAGCCTAAATAAGGGGCTAATTGAAGGGGACATGAGTAGAACCAGATGGGTACAGATGCATGAGTGTGTTTCTGTCTTGGAAGTAAGTTATTTTAAGGGGAAGTGGTTGCATGTATGTGATGGGAAGATTAATGGCATAAAACTTGAACAGGGGAAGTTGTGGGGAGCTAATCCAGTGTCTATTCAAAAGTAGCCTTTTCCACTAAAAGGGGAAGCAAGGAATTGAAGATATAAGTGAAACTGATATATTTAAAATCTGGTAGGAAAACTTCTGTGAACAACTTTGGAAATAGATGATTTCAAAGATTTGATTTATTTTTTCTTTTTTTGTGATTTTGTTACTGTTGATACTCCTGTATTTTTTACATTCTTGTATGTTATGTGTTAAATCATTTACTTTTATTTCCCACTGTATTTGTTCTAAAGGCTTATTTCCATAGGGTCATAACTATAAATGAATAAATAGACTTTAAAATATAAAAGAGGTCCGGGGCACCTGGGTTGCTCAGTGGGTTAAGCCACTGCCTTCAGCTCAGGTCAAGATCCCAGGGTCCTGGGATTGAGCCCCGCATCGGGCTCTCTGCTCACCAGGGAACCTGCTCCCCGCTCTCTCTCTTTCTGCCTGCCTCTGCCTACTTAGGATCTCTCTCTGTGTCAAATAAATAAATAAAATCTTTAAAAATATATATATAAAAGAGACCCAGAAAGATTAAGTAGTCATAATAAGTGATATGTTTATTGGTTCATTCATATAATTCTCACAAAATCAAACAGGTTCTGTATTTCTAAACTTTCTGTATTACTTGGAGATTTCTGCTACAACTTAAGATCTTGCCTTCTATTACAAAGTCATTTATCATTTTCTGCCATGAAAAAAAATTTACAAATAACATGAAAAAACAATAAAATAAAGACCAGCAGATCTTGAGTCTGTAATATTATTGAGGTGTGAGCTTCATAACTTTTCTCTTAACTTTCTTCTTCTGATTTTTAGAGGACACTCTTCTCACACAAGCATGAAGAGGATTTAGTGCAGTTATCAGTACCAACAGTGTGTGAATTTACATACACACATTTTCCCTGGAAATCCAGACTTGGTTCTGGCAAACCCCTGAGAAATTAGAAAACACGAGTCATTGGCCATACTCACCATCTTCACTCTATATGATATTATTTAAAAACCACTATGTGAAATTCATTATGTCTAATGCTGTCAAGAACTCAAGGCTATAAAGACACTCTCCCTCTTTTGCATAAAGAACTCATGCATTTATAGAAGAGATGAATATATACACAGTAAATAAGTTTCACAAAATGTGATAATTATTTACAAGTGGTAAAATATACACCAGTATAGAGAGAAAGAGAATGATCTGGCTGGAAAATTATGGCAATAGCATGAAAGGACATATGACCTGGGATATAAATTTATGTTTTAAGTACAGATTGGCATAATAGAAGCCATTCAATTATGCATGCACAGTTGCAGTTGAAGGAGGGATATTTTGCTTATAAAAACATTATATTAGATACTCAATATTAGTAATGAAATTTAGTATATATGTACATACACATGTGTGTTTTGGTGTCTGTGTATATCTGTGTCTGTGTAATATGTCAGGATCTTTCCCTGTGCTCTGATGAGTTCTTCAATTTACAAAGTCACCACTGACATAAATGACATATAGCAGATGCTATCAAAACTCTGGTTGAATTTAGTCCTTGACTAAAGATCTAGAGCATTTTAGGTATTGTCAGTAAAACTACCTTTCATCAACTCTACAGCAAAATTAGTTGTCTAGTATTGTCTGGAAAAAGTAAAGCTTATCTACTCAATTATTAAATGCATAATACATTATTTTTCAAAATGTCAAAGAAATTAGAAAAAAATTCTTAACTGCGTAGGAAAAATAAAATATTTTATTTTATACATTCTTCTATTCATTAATTCCACATACTTATTGAGTATTCTGTGTAGCAAACATTGTACAGGGTTTGAAGCAGAGGAGAATATTCGAGTTACAAAATTCTAATAAATAAAATGATCTACCATGACATCTAATGTCATCCTGAATCTGATTACTAAAATTATTTTTTTTTATTTGACAGAAAAAGAGATCACAAGTAGGCAGAGAGGCAGGCAGAGAGAGAGGGGGAAGCAGGCTCCCTGCTGAGCAGAGAGCCCGATGCGGGGCTCGATCCCAGTACCCTGAGATCATGACCTGAGCCGAAGTCAGAGGCTTAACCCACTGAGCCACCCAGGCACCCCTGATTACTAAAATTATTAAGAAATGTTTTTATTGTCATAATGTTTGTGACATTCTTCCTTCCCTAGAAGATTGATGAAACTTACTGTGATTGTGGGAATGTGATTACCCTATATGAAGAGATAGACCATGATCACATAAGAAACCTGATAAAGGGGTACCTAGGTGGCTTAGTTGGTTGAGTGTCTGCCTTTGGCTCTGGTCATGATCCTGGGGTCCCAGGATCAAGCCCCATGTCAGGCTTCCTGCTAGGGACACTGCTTCTGTCTCCCCCACTGCCCACCCCATTCATGCTGCCTCTCTCATTCTCTCACTTTCTCCCAAAATAAATAAATAAAATCTTTTAAAAAAGGAAAACTTATATAATGATACCAAAGCCTCCATTTAAAAAAATTGTATACTTAAACGAATTTTGAGATGGAAATATTAAATCCCTTTATCTTTTATAATCGTTAATTTGAAAATGATATTTCTTGTAAGGCAAACTTATTTGGGCACTTATAATGAAAATGTCAAAGATATATCTTGCCTTTCTCTATAATTTAAAATGAAAGAATGCGATTTCAAAGCCAATATGATATTTCATTTGGCAAAGGAAGAAGAATAAAATTCATTATTAAAACCAGAAAAAGTAATAAATAAAATTATCAACCAAGGAAATAAGCAGACTCAGAATTTAACACAATGGTATAGGTTAAGTCCAGAAAAATATTCAAGGTTGTTCACATGTTGAAATATTTACACAAACCATGAAATATTTAAATGACATATGAAATGAGTTAGGTTATTTAAATATTAAAATTTTAATATATGATAAATATGACATTAAATTCAGTGATGAAAAAAATAATCATTTAAACAGTACTCTAACAATTGATTCCCTAATTGAAATATACATATTAGGGATAGACAAAATTATAACTAATGTAAATACACATGTACATGCTTCAACTTTCTCCATCTTATGTCAAAACAAATTTTAAATGTATAAAGACAATCTCAGTATGCCTAAATGTTAACTCTTTCCTCACTTAATAAAAGCAAATAAACTTAAACAGCAAATCACTAAAGGAAAAAACTGGTAAGAATGTCTGAAAGAGAGGTTAGAAACTTAATATATAAGAAGCTATAGCAAAAAATAAAAAAGTAAATAGGATAAAATGGTCAAAAGCATTATTATAGGTTATAGGAAAAATAGTTTCACTAAACATCAGAAGAATATAACCTTAAAGAACAAAATAAAAATAATGAGCTATCAAAATTATCAAAACTTTGAAATTCTAAGTTTGTCACACAGCAATGAAACAAATGTATATATAGATAGATAGATATAGAAACACACACACGCACACACACATACTTGCCGTAGATGTCTAATGCAATGTTTCTGGATCACAGTGACCAATATGTGCTTAAAACCATAAAAAGAACACAAACTCTGTGGCCAAAGAGTGAAATTTTATACTTCTAAGAACAACAGAAATGTCCCAAAGTTTATATATAATCATATTCTTCTTCACATTACATTTATTTTTTTTTAAGATTTTATTTATTTGTCAGAGAGAGAGAGAATAAGAGAGCGAGCACACACAGGGAAAACAGCAGGCAGAGGCAGAAGCAGGTTCCCCACTGAGCAAGGAGACAGATGTAGGACTAGATCCCAGGACCCTGGGATCATGACTTGACCTGAAGTCAGATGCTTAACCAGCTGAGTCACCCAGGCATCCCCACATTACATTTCTTATCTAAAATTGTAATTAGTCAGATCATCTAATAATAGAAGCATATTTACACTAATTAAAAAATATCTGAATAACTTTATGATTTATAAAATTGCTGACAGTATAATATGAAATAACAGAAGCAAGAAATAAAAATGTCCAGATTCTGTCCCAGGTAATCTTCTCTATTTCCTCAAGCTCTTTAAGCAAAAGACATTAAGAAAAGAATAAAGAATTGGGTTATATACCAGAAACTTACAGCTCAGGAGAAGGAGAGGAGCCATCCTCCCACTTCCATTTATTGTCCTCCTCCTTGTAAGACAGGCCAAGCCAAGTATGATTTACTGTAATTAATTTCATGATATTCTGGATGGAACAAACAGATACAAAAGTATTAATACTAAAAGCACATTATAGATGAAAAATATGTAATTTGTGTCAGGCAAGAAGTAAAGAATCATAAAAATAAAAATACTGCAGTCTATATATGTCCACTGATAAAGGAAACATCAAAAAATTACTTAGTTCTGTGGTGTCTGTGCTTTTCTCAAACCAGGAATTAAATGTGAAGAAAAAGAAAAGATAGTTAATAGAAAATTGTATAATCAGCAGGACATTGCACACTAAAAATAAATTGTTTTTTTAACTCATTTTAGCACTTAGTAAACTCTGTGTCTGTTCTTCTAGATTAAAATATATCATTGAACAAAAATGAGAAAATTCCCAATTTGAGGGGATTGGGTCCAGATAGAAGTAAACATCATATACACAAATGATATGTAAGAAGGTGACAAATCCTATAAAAGAAATTAGAGCAAGGAATCACAATGAGGTATCACCTCACGCTGGTGAGAATGGCTAAAATCAACAACACCTGTTGGTAAGGATGTGGAGAAAACGAACCCTCGTTTTGCATTGTTGGTGGGAATCCAACTGTGCATCCTCTGTGGAAAACAGTATGGAGGTTCCTCAAAAAATGTAAAAAATAGAACTACCCTATGACCCAGTGACTGCACTACTGGATATTTACCTAAAGAATACTAAAACATTAATTTGAAAAGATATATGTATCCCTATTTCTATTTCTACATTATTTACAATAGCCAAGATATGGGAGCGGCCCAAGGTGTCCATCAATAGATAAATGGATAAAGAAGATGTGGCATATATATCTCCAATGGAATTTTACTCAGCCATAAAAAGAATAAAATCTTGTCATTTGCAACATGAATGGAGCTACAGGGTATAATGCTTAATAAAATACACCAGTCAGAGAAAGACAAATACCATATGATTTCACACATATGTGGAAGTTAAGAAACAAAACAAATGAACAAAGATTAAAAAAAGAGACAAACCAAAAACCTACTCTTAACTGTGGAGAACAAACTGTTGGTTACCATAGAGGAGGGGAGGGATGGGTCAATTAGATGGTAAGGATTAAATATTACTCTTATCAAAACATAATGATGTCATTATTTCAGTCACTGAATTAAATAGAATAAGTTAATTTGGGGAAAAAAGGGTGCACTTATGATGTACACTGAGCAATATATAGAATTGTCAAATCACTGTGTCATACACCTGCAACTACTATAGCACTGTATGTTAACTATACTGCAACTAAAATAATAAAAGAAATTAAAGGTCAGGCAAGGAAAAGAAAAAAAAATTAGAGCAGGGTCAGAAGGACTGGGAGTACAAAGGAAGTCATCTGTGGGGGGTAGAAGAAAAGGTGGGCACTGATGCACAAGTTGCAGTTTTAAATGGGGGTTGTCAGGGTGGGTCTCATTGAGAAGGTGGTAACAGAATGAATGCATACTTGAAGAAGGTGAAGTAGTTAGTCGTGGTTATAGGAGAGAAGAACATTACATGCAGAGGGAACAGCAAATGCAATGCTTCTACAGGGAAAGTATGCCTGGTGTGTTGGGAAAGAAAAGGTGTGCTGAAGTGGAGCATACCAGGAAAAGATGAGTGAAAAACGAAGCATGGGTATTGCTTTCTCTGGTTTTAGTGGTGCAGGTGAACAGTTCCTTTAACTGGTACCTATTACATATTCATATCCCAGAAGCAAAGAATAAAATACAATCTCACCTCCAATCTACTCCCTTCTGTCTTAAAAAATGTAGCATTCAAAGAGACACACAGATCAGAACAGTTTAACCAAGAAACCATTTCCATGGTTTGATGGTAGCAGTGGTCTTTGTACTGAACCCAGTGCTTCAGAAGAGGTCCACACTCTACTCCTAGGAAAGAAGATAATTATAATTATAATATATATAATTGTAATTATAGCTCAGAGTCCACAGACCCTCAAAGCCCACAAACAAGGCCTTATTTCTTCAGACCTTTCCCTTTTAAGATATATAAGATTATTATTAAGAATTAAGAATTTTTTTTTTTAAAAGAATTATCGACTCAGAATTTTCTCGATTTCCCCCAAATTACCTTGTTTTTCCTTTAGTTTGTGTAAAGCCTCAATGAGATAATCCTTCTGGCTCCGGAGCCACTCTAGGGTTTCTACATTGGACAGTAAGACTTAATAGATGAGAATACACATTATATGACATTTTTTTTTACTATCTTAAGGGTCATAATAATGAAATTCTCAAGTGGCAAATATACAAATAATTCTGGTTTAGTTCCCTTCTCTTCTGAATTAGTTTCATCTCTAGCTGAAATAATTGATTGCTTAGAAACCAGCCTTTTAAAATGCAGAACATAGTGGTCATAGTCAGCAGTGTTGTATTATAAATTCAAAGTTGCTAAGAGACTAGATCTTAATTGTTCTCAATACAAAATTGAAATGATAAATATGTGACATGATACATGATGGTAGCAATCATACTGCAATATATAAATGCATTAAACCAGCATGCCACACACCTCAAACTTACACAATGTTATATTGTGAAGCATATCTCAATAAAATAAGGAAAAAAAATAAGGAAATCTGTCTTTTAACAGAACCTATCATGAAAGGACTCTCAAATGATTGATTCAGTTATTCCATATAGATTTGATACTTTGCAGGAAACAAATATGGTAATACGAGGCTTTTGTAAAATATTTATTTATGGTAAACAGACTATTTTATATTATAATTAACTAGCATAAAAGAAGCTTTATGATGACTAGTATTTTAAACTTCTCTCCTTAGGAGACATTTAGAAACTATGAAAATACTATGAGTTTTCAGATATTTAAGTTCTCCCATTCCCCATGCTCTCCGAATATCTTACACGTACCTCTGCTTCACACCTAGACACTTTGATTTATTTTCGGTTTATACGATTTCTCCTGAGCCTCCTAAGGGCAAGGGTCACGCTGATCACAGCCTGGTGGCTGGCATTTAATGTGCTTTGAACAGATGTGAATGAATAAATGAGTAAATAAGCTAATTAAAATAGGAGGCTGTGTCTCAGTATGTGTGACTCAGTTTCAGAGGATGATGGGAAAAAGAAGCAAGAAACCGTCCAAACTGTCATGCTGTTGAGTCAGAGAGCTCCTGTTAAGTTTCACAATCAGCCATTTTAGGGCTGTAGTAAGAACCACCTTGCGTTCTGTAAAGAGAGTTTTTTCTAGCTCTCATATTACCTTTGTTTCGGTCAAGAGCTTTTTGGATCTTTAGAAAATTTTCAGTTTTGTTTTGTAAAGACTCAATCCATTCGTTCAAGATCTTCATCTTGGTTGCTGATGCCTCAACAGTGTGAAAGTCTAAGAACAAGAATTCCCAATACATGTAAGCCACATGCTTAATTATGAAACAGCAGTGTATTCAATTATAAAGAATATATTTTTTTAGTTTCCTACCTACTGAAGTTCTCCATAAATGTTTTCAAAAGTTGTAAAAAGTTATTTGGCCAAATACTGTCTCATTTATCCACTATTATTTCTAAAGTCCACATCTAATCTAAACTATCACCATGATTTCCTTATAAGTTTGAATACATGTTTCTATTAATAGAAAAATGGTCCAATTCAATTGAAACAGACAACAAAAATGGCAAAGATCATCTTGAATAAGCCTTTTGGCATCATGATTTAATGTGTTGATTTAATGTGTAGAATTTCATTCCCTGATCAAAATTATAGTGTTTTCAGTATCAAACTAGTGTTATCAATGAAAGAGGAACATTTACTTTTAAATCACCAGTTGGGAATAATGTTAGTAATAATGAAAGCATTCTATTGATCTAATTTAGGCTGCTGGAGATATTGAGAATTCAAACAAATTATAAAAGAAGTTACTTTCTGAATTCTAAATAAATACAGTTGTATATTCATTGACCTTATTTCTTAGCAAGTTGTGATTTTCAAATAGTAATAATAATAATTGTTATTATCAAGATGTCTACAGTAATTGCAATAATATTGCTTCCCTAGAAAAATATTGTAGTTACTGAGAGCTTACAAAGTTAAATTCTTCCATATACTAAAAATGTTGTGATAATTTCATGTCTTTTTTTTTTTTTAAGATTTTACTTATTTATTTGAGAGAGAGAGAGTTCACAAGTAGGCAGAGCAGCAGGCGGGGGATGGGGGAGAAGAAGGCTCCCTGCTGAGCAAAGAGCCCAATGCAGGGCTCAATCCCAGGACCCTGAGATCATGACCTGAGCCAAGGCAGAGGCTCAACCCACTGAGCCACCCAGGCACACCTAATTTCATGTCACTTTTTGCCCGTTCTTTTTTCAATGGCAACAAAACGTTTACCAAAAGCTATTACCTGAAGATGGTTTAAAGAAACATAATCTGAGAAAAGTTTTCCCCTAATTAATCAGACTTACACTGATATCCAAAGAACCCACACAACATCAAGAGCAGCAGGCTGAAGATTCCCACGGTCACAGGAATGATTCCTTGCAGAGAAAAGGAAAAAGAGGAAGCTAAGAAACAGAGTAAGTGATAATCAGGGATATTGTGGGCTTATACTGTTTGAAAGATTAACACCATTATTTTCCACTTGTTATTGCTCTTAAAATATCCCCAAATTTCTGATACTATCCAATGTGTGAATTACTATAAACTTTTAGGCTGAATGTGAAGGGAAAAAAAAAAAAAAAACACTTAAAAGGATGTGCAGAAATGAGTTAGCATAGCAGACCTGACTACCATCCTTTGAAAGGCCTGCTTGTAAGGTTGGCCCTTGGCATCTAGAAACCTATATTTCAAGATGGTTCCCACCACGGTTATTGATAAGAATGGTTAACTATTCCTAAACTGTTTGGCACACTATATAGTTTATGATGAACACCTACTTTCCTTCTGGAAGTCTGGAATTTTGTTACATGTCAGCCAGAGGTTGCCTATATAATCACTCCTAATTAAGATCCTGAACACCAATTCTCTAATGAGTTTCCTGGGAGGGCAACATTTGATACACATTGTCACATCTTACTGGAGGAATTCGTGTGACTCATGGGACTGTACTGGGAAAAGACCCTACTCTCCACCATTCTTCACTCCATGTACATTTTCCCTTTGCTGTCTATGCTTGTATCCTTCCATTGTCATAAATCTTAGCTATAAGTACATGTATCTGTGCAAGTTCTCCTAGTCAATCATCAAACCTGAGCATGATCTTAGGGACTTCCACCACAGGTGAAAATCTTACAAACAGGTATTAAATATCCTTAAATACCAGGTATAAAATTTCAGTACAGATTACCTTATCCTCACTAATATATTCAGATGAGGAAGTACTTAATTATTTTAAATCTCTGTTATTATTAAGATAGAATTCTTTATTTGAACTTGCTGACTGGTGCTATATTCTTCTCCTAAAGGATGACTGCAAATCTTATGGAATTTTTTAACTGGATGATATTTGGTTTTAGGTGAAACATCATCTGTAATTTCTTTAGTTTCACTACAATAATATGTTACATTGCCACATTCTGGAAACCAAACTTCCAGCCATCATTGTTTATAGTCTTTTCTATAGACTTTAGTGTTAAAAAAAAAAAGTATTTGTACTTCTGAAGAATTATACTTCTGAAATAAGGTGAAATTCTGCCATCAAAGAGAATGGTTATATTAATAACTAATGTCCAAATCATTTCTTCAACTTTCCGAATACAGTAATGGTGGTTATCAACCAGAGACAATTTTGTCCCTACAGGACATTTGTAAATATCTGGAGACATTCCTGGTGTCACAACTGAGGGGTAAGTGTTACTGGTGTCTAGTGAGTAGAAGCCACAGGTGCTGCTAAACATCCAACAATCACTGAACGACAACAGTTATCTAGCCCAAAATGCCAGAGGTGCTGAAGTTGAGAAATCTTGCTCTACTAAATGTTTTTTTTTTATATATAATCAAAAGGAGGCAATCATATGGTAGGGTTCTCTCTTTCTTGTCTTTTTACAAATTTGCTGAAATTTAAATCATGATCATGTTTTAAATTTTGAATTTTGATCATGTTTAAGTCTCTCAGTCTCATGTCAGGAAACATGTCTAAATTTGGGCAAATGGCTTTCTTTAATCTTTGACTATTTTCCTTAATGTATGAAATTTTCAAATGTCTTTGTGAGAAAACACACTTTTATTTTGCTTCCATATACATTCTGAAAATTTTTATATCTCTATATTTTCTCTAAATTGTAAAATTCCCAAATAGTAACAGAGAAAAGTAAAATCAGTTGAAGTACCATAAGATAACAAAGAGAGGACATAAGTGCATAAAATCTGCTATGTATACTGTACCATTTATCCTGGTAGGCTCAGAAACTGGGCTCCATTCATGCTCTGGAGGAGGAGGAAGAGGAGAAGGAGGAGAGGGAGGAAGGTCAGGAGATGGTTCCAAGTCTGCAATAGGTATTGTCTCTGTCTGCTCTGTGGTTTCTTTTAGCATAGAAAATAAATTGAGATTAGAACTTAATTTAAGAGATTCAGAACTATTTTTAAAAATTACTGGAAAAACAATTATAATAGTAGACATTCAAACCACATTTCCATTCAACAGCCCACTCAGCTAAAATTATTTAAATGATTGATTACACTTTAGGTTGAGCCAGGAAACAGATCATTATTTCTGTTAATTTTATTTAAAAGCATCCTTTCAATATGTCTGAAAAATATTAAAGAAAATATAAGAACTTATGCCCCTGTTATAGTCATAACCAGCAGTAATGATAGACAAAGATAATTAAAATGTTACTTTCATTAAAATGGCATAGGATTTTGAATTTTAAAAAAAAATACCTGGAGGCAGCTCAGAGTCTGAAGCATTGGACATTATGAAGCCTTCTAGATGATTTCTTTATCCCCGTAGTGAAGAAGAGCCCACAAAGATGCTGGTAGGTGAAGGAAGAGATTTGTTCTCTACTATCCTCCTAGACTTGATGAAAAGTCCAGACCTAGTCTAAGTAGGGCAGCTACTTACAGTTGTATGAGACTAACTTACTTTGGTAAAAACCACAAAGGAAATGTGAAAATAACTGGATATATTTCTAACCATTTTGCAAAAATAAAAAAAAATTCCCATTTAATTAAATTATGTAAAACAAGATTTTTAATAACATCTGATTTGTGCAAGTAATAATCTGGAAATAAATTGGGAAAAACCACTGTCATAAAAAATGTAATTGATAGTTCATAGTGAAATTTTTCATGAAAATTGAGTATGTACTGAAGGAAGACATAGGTGCATGAATCTAAGGGTCTAGCCAACTAGAGGAATAAGAAAAGGAACAATACTGGAAATAACAGATATCTGTTAAAGAGAGATTTATTTTTTTTTTTTTTTTTTTAAGATTTTATTTATTTGTCAGAGCGAGCACAGGCAGACAGAGCGGCAGGCAGAGGCAGAGGGAGAAGCAGGCTCCCGCTGAGCAAGGAGCCCGATGTGGGACTCGATCCCAGGACGCTGGGATCATGACCTGAGCCGAAGGCAGCTGCTTAACCAACTGAGCCACCCAGGCGTCCCTGTTAAAGAGAGATTTAAATGACAACCTATAATAAATGGCTATTGAAGATATAGACCCCATAATAAAATCTGTAGATCTAGATATTGACAGTTTGGCTTAAGGTTTTTCCGTACCACGCCTCTCCACCAACTTTTTTCTTTTTTCAAGTAAAAACAAGTTCTATTTAAAGAAATAAATTTGGGTGACCACCAACAATCTACTGTTCACTATTTACTGGACTCCCATGGCTCAATATTTGTAGTGAGTAGAAGCAGATAATGTACATAAACAAAAATAGACATAAGACTCTTTCTCATCATTGGGGTTATAACCTCAAAGAAACAAATATATATTTAGGTCAGTCTGGTTCAACCCACACAAGATACCTTAGACATAGGCAGTTGTCATGTTTTCCACTCTTCTATATCCAGTTCAGATCAGTCTTACAAGTAAATCCTAAAAATATATTGCATTTTATCTTTTAATATATGAAATGTAAGGTGGGTTGGCTAAAGCAAATATTATAACATTACTGTTCACTCAAAGATCTCAGTAAATTTAGGGATGGAAAGAGCTGAAACTTAATAAAAACAACCATTCATTGACTTTTTGCCCATCTTGTACTTCATTTTTATTTGTTTATTTTCTGACTTTAAATTTAAAAATCTGATTGCATTGCATTGGTTAAGGATTCAGATAAGTACAAGTGGGAAAAAAGAAAAAGCATTGATCCCTAATGTTTGAATATCATATGGATATATATAGTATTCCATTCATGTATCCTTTCATTCTATTAGAATGAAATAAATTTCCAACATTAAGATCACTGACTGTGTTCTTGAAAGTTCAACTTCATGCTAATGATCTCATCTCTTATGACTTCTAACTCTGGATCCAAGAACTTTCTTCATACTGTCTCATTCTTCCCCAATCTCATTATTTGTCCCCAGAATGTTTATGCATTTATTTAAGCCATGTTTGCAATAAACATGCTCACCCTTTAAAAAAAAGAATAAATAAACTTATTGTACTGTAGCTTTTCGATATGACTAATCATCTTTCCACTTGAGTAGTTATACATCCATGCATTTTAAAGAGAGAACACTTTAAAGAATAAGCCAGAAGAAAAGTTCTACATGTTTTGTTGCTTAGAAGCAAAAACCAAGTTGCAGAGTAGTGAGCACTTGTCTAGCATAAAAAAAGACAAGTGGAAGGGAAATGTGGAGGAACAAGAGAAGTAGAAGGAGAAGGGGGGAAAAAAACAAGAAGAAATAATGTGTAAATATGTTTATTTAATTCATATGAACATAAAAAATATTTATACTGGTCATCATACACAAGTGAGACTTTAAGAGAGAGGAAAAAATTATTCATATTTGCTCCATTTTAAGCTTCACATTATATACGTGTGTTACATTTATCATGTTTTTAAATAAGTTCTGTTTGAGATGGGGAAGTAAAAGAAAAGTCATTCAGCATAAAGAAAAAAGTCATGCTGTGAACAAACTTTATCTTAGAAGATACCCATAACAGTATTATATCCAAGGACCAGAAATATCAG